TGCAGTTTTAAAAAATAGAAGCATAATACAGGTATTGCCTGCAACAAATTACAGTAAGAAAACATAGGCAAAGATTAAAGTGCTGATCTTCTAGCACTTAAGAAATGCTTTTGAAAGAGCCGTACTACTAAGGTAGCTTATTCTGAAAACACTGTATCACTTTGCATGTGATTTTAAACTTTTGAGATAATGCTTGCTGTGCATGAAATTAGTATCAGCTGTGTTACCTGGCATTTGGAAGAAGGTTTCTGAGTCATGTACCACGCTTGGTTGCTCTGCCAAATTATGAGAAAAAAGTTCAGTATTTTTTTCATAGTTCTCTAAATTACAACTGATGGGGAGACTGGCTTATAAAAGTGCTGTGGGTTTTTCTGCAGTGACATCTGTGGAGTGTATATATAGTAGGTTCCCAAGTTGGAAGCCAGAATAGTGTGGGAAGTGTGAAAGGGGGATGGGGAGGGGAGCAAACAAGAAATTCAGACAAAAGGAAATTGTTGGTGCAAGTTAATGCCTTTTCTTAGTGATATTGATAAATTTCTGCTGCTGTTCAAGCAGTCTAAATTATTCTCCTTCTGATTCTGTTTCCTTTTGCTTTTCTCCTGTTGCCTGGAAAACATGAGTGGAATCTAGTAGGACAAGAGGCTGCTTTTTCATTGTTTTGTGGCTCCGTTGCTAGCTATTGTCCCCTTGGCTCAGGCAGTTCATGTCAGTCTTTGTGTGGAGTAAGAAAAATGTTTTTCCTTTTTTCTTTAAAGATTAAGTTTCTAGACTGTGTAGATTGCTGTTATTTGAAAAGCAAGCACTGCTAACTTAAGAGCATCTCCTATCAACTAACGTATTTTTGCTTGCGATGTCACCTTTAGCACTTTTTTCATTCAGATGTGCTTATTGAATTTGTGGGCTAGTTTGGGGGTAAAGCAGTCTTGAAATCTAGTTTCATTTTTTAATGTACTTTCTTTAAAACAAAGGAACTCTAAGCAAGACAGCGCATTTCATGAATTTTTCTGTCAGGAATAAAAAGCAGATCGCTGACAATGTTGTATGTTGTCAACAGTTGGAAATGGAGCCAATTTTGCTCTTAAGTAGGAGCAGAGCTCTAACACCCAGTAAAGTAATGCAGCCTTGAGCAGTGTCACTGAGATCTTGTATGTTGTGGCTGACTTAACTCTGTTCTTTACTACATCACTGATTATTTATAAATGAAGATTGTTTTTGAGGACATTCTTGAAACAGAACTGAAATGTAGCTGTTTGCTAGTATGAAAACACACCCATGGATGCATAGGATAGTGCAAAAAAAGACATTTAGTTCTCTTGTAAGTAACAGTTCTTGCAGATAGTATTTATATGATCCTACTTCTTCATTGCCTTTATTTTTTGCTGTACTAATTGATTACATGGTGGTACAGAAAATATATTGAAAATGGGCAATACTGTAACTGATTATCTGTGGGTTTTTTTTTTTTCTTTTTCAGGCATCTATTAACAAGTGAAAAGTGACAGAACCATGGCTCAGTTTCCAACACCTTTTGGGGGTAAGTTGTTTATGAAGTATTCTGAACTATTCTTACATGCAAAAATTCTGCATAAATGTGTTGTTTACTGCATATGTTCTGTATGGATAGTGTTTATGGATAGTGTATCTTTCTGAGATGATAGTTTATCTGATTTGTGATGTTTTTGCAGACCCATTAGAGAACACACATGAAAATGTGCAGAGACATCTCAGAAGAGTAAAATGGAAAAGCTGTGCCTTGTCCCTTTTTGTGCATTGATCCATTACATTCCTACAGTTTGCTACTCAGCCACTGGCAGTAGGGCATAGCTGCATTCTGCAGTTACCCAGTTTTATTTGCCTGTCTTAAGCTTCCCTACTCAGTCCTGCCTGCTTTTTTCATATTTTTTTTCAGAGGAAATTCTAAAATGCTATTTAAATATTACAAATTCTCACTTTATAAGCACTAGTTGTGGCTGAGAAGTGGATATGCTTTTTCTTTGAGGATTCCTGGACATTTTCATTGCTAAAAGGTACAGCAGATGCCTTTGGATGCTAACACTTCAAATTTCTTTTCTTTACTGTCCCATAACTCATGTTTAGATTAGAATAAAGATGCTGAATTTTTTTAGCTCTCCATTTATAACAGGGCAAGGTGTAGCATCTTGAACTTCGGTCTTTTTGAAAGATACAGGAAGGGCTCTCTTAGTGCAATAGAGACATTACTTTCTGGTATTCACACGAAATACATTTTTGAGCCCATTATTGCAACCTATCTGAAGAAAGATTACGAAGATAAATTTCAGTGCTGAGAGCTAGTAACTAGTTTGGTTCCACTTAAATGTTTCATCTGTTAAGGACTTTTCTCTGAAGATGCAGATGTGATTCTTGTTGTGTGTATATGTATGCTTGTGTATACATATATACACATAAATATGCATACACACAAAAAAAAGTGTGTGTGTATATGTATGTAAATATATATGCAAGTCTAGTTTTTGGGATCAGATATAGCTAGGAACTAAATGTGTATGTAGTGTTAGTGTTTCAGTGGGAGACTTCAGGAAGAACGCATGTTATTCAGAGTATGTTGTTAGAGAACCCCAGTTCTTGTTAAACACAGATTGATTGGATGCAATCTCTACCAGTCTGAAAATGTCCGTGAAGCACCACAGAAGAAGCATCTCTGCACATGGTAGCTAGAATAAATGTATAGTTGTAAGCTGCTATGCATTGCCTCAGTTATCTTTAAGTCCAGCCATCTGTACTTAAATCTTGTTTGGTGCCAGACTTTCTCATTTTGTGAGTGAAACTGGCTGCCAAAAACTGTGATCAAATAAACTCACTGGACAGTTTCATGTAGGCTACCCTTTCAGGTTGTATAAAAAGTTGTGAATAACTTCATTTCACCCTAATTTTCACAATCTAAGGGAAGTCATGATGTGAATGAAATCTGCTTGTTCAGACTGAAGTGTTTCCTTTTGTTTAGAGTTAGGGCTGTGCTTTCCATGCACCCATATTTAAACACATACATGCATTGTTAATGGAAATCTCATCTTCAAAGCATTCTCCTCTGCCATCTTCAGAGAGTTCTCATTGTATTACAGATGGATAGCAGCTTTCTTTTTTAAACTTTATATATTGCCATTTGATGTTGCATATGTTGTCCAGGATCCTGTTAATTGTAGTACATGGCTTTAGGAAGGAAGGAATTCACTATTTCTTCTCAAACAATGTTTCTCATCTGACTGCTCTACAACGAGGAAGTTGAAATAAGAACGTGGCTATTGTAGTTTCTGGAGTATCTTTAATTTGTAATGTGATGTGAGGAAAGTTTATTATGATAGTCATACTGGAACCAAGTCTACCAAGTAGCATCATACCTCCTTTTAGAAGAATGACAGCAAAAGTCAAAGATTGTTGTAAGAGGAAACAAATGGTGTAAAGAAAATCCCAATTTTTATGGGGAAATTTGTCATCCTTTTGAGAATGCAACCTTTTCTGTTACCTGTAGTCACCAAATGAGATGCAGAGGAGAAGATTTATGCAGTCTCCATCTTGGGAGAGCCCTCACTCCAAATTTGCAAAATCTGGTATCCCTCTGCTTGTGAATTCCAATAATGATGTTTTTGATTTTATTTAATTTCCTTTCTTTTTAAAGAGTCTTTCAAGTCAGCTTGAGAAATGGGTATGGAAACAGCACAGCACCAGTATTTAAATTGGGGTGACTCATTCATATTCCAGAATACTGCTCATTTTAAGGATGACTAATTAGAAAAAAAAAAATGGCATGGTAGGATTTTTATAACTGTTGGGAAGAATGTGGTATGCTTGACCTTCTGTCGATTTGTCCAGGAGAAGAAAATGCCCATTTCATATATGAAAGCCTACTGCTTCACTTTTGCAGATGAGGTGATTACTAAGCCATGTAAAAGAAAAGATGTTTAGAAGGCTTGCTTATGAGTCAATAAGCAAGAATAGCTTGCTTATGAGTCAATTTTGTGGTTTGGTGACTGCCTCCTTTGTATCCAAATATATTGAAAAGCCCCACAACCTCTGTGTTGGCATCCAGGATCTGAAGGCATGAATGATGTCTTGGTGTTGGGTAGGATCCTGCTTCATGCCCTTCCGTAAGTTTTATTGTTTCCTCAACTAACAAAAGATGGAAATGAGGCAATGCCAGAGATGCCATTCATACTTTTCTGACTGAAGAGGCTACTAGGCTTGCTTGGTTTAACATTGGCTCTTTTGATGTTCATATCCCACAAAGGAGATCTACTGTTTCAATACAAACCAAATCTCCATCTGGAACAGTAAATATTGACCCTCATCTGTTCTAGTTATAGGGACTCAAGAGAATAAATCAACAAATTTTGTTTTAAAATAGTTAATTAACTATTAATTAACTATTAATTTTTAGTTACCTCATACTGTAGATTTTAGTTCTGGGTTTTATCGCCGCCTTTGTAGAGGGCTAGGAAGAGCTGGAGGTTTTGTTTGTTGTTGTGGTTTTTGGGGTTCGGTGTTTTTTGTTGGGGTTTTTTTTTGGTACTGGAGTCACGAATACCTCAAATTGAGAGCGAGCAAGCCAGCGAATCATTGGAAATTTCATGTTGTTTTTTTGTTTTTGTTTTTCTCCCCACATTATATTCAAGAAACTCTCCCTCTTTATGTAAGCTACCATATCCAGCATTAGGATCTTAGGCTGGAGTAGTTGTGTTTCCAATACATGGAGATGTTCATCTGCTCCTAGCTGGCCTAGACTAGTTGGCCAAGTCTTCATATTGGTCATGAAGTCTTAATCAACACCATTCCTTTCCTCCTGTCAGGAGTTCAGGAGATGATGGGGGAGATAATTGCATACGTGAACTATTGTGTTTTGGGATGTTCGTATCCAAAAGAGTCCTGTTTCATCCCCACAGGGGGCATAGCTATGCAATCTGTTTACAGTGCCTTTGTGAGCTTAATCACTAAAATTCTGGGATTTTTGGACTAATCTTAAAGTGTCCTTTCTTTGAATTAGCTATTATTGGCCTGTCTGCTTTTAGAAAAACATAGGTTACCTAAAACTGAGATGATATTTTTTTACCAAGAATGTAGCTTTTCTGTCATTAATGAAATCTACCATTTAAAGGAATGTTTTTCTTCCCCTTGTCCATTTCCTTTTCTCTCCCAAGTACATTTTGCCACATGAAAGTAGATTTTAAATAGAAGAAATTCAGGAGGCAGGACATTCTCATGTTCTTCATAACTGCTGAGTCTGATTCTGCCTCAGCCTGCAAGCAGTTTGAAATACTTGCTGTGAATATTTGTGGACCTTATTACCTGAAATTTAATCTCTGAGAATTTAGTGCTGAGACAGAGTGAATGCTAGATCTCTTCTTTATTTTTCTACAAGTCTACATTTTATCTTTTAATATTACTTCGATAAAACAGTGATTCCATTAACTTAGATGCCTTTGTATCATTTGTTCCTGTACAGTAGGAGTTACAGGAAAGTGCACCAGTGTAATGTACTTCTATGGATGTTGAAATCATGATATTTTACTGGTTGAGAAACTGTTGAGGCAAACCTGAAGCACAGTGTTAGAGACTTCCTTGGAGGTCTCAAGTGGAAGTTGAGATATGGTTGCTCTGAGTACAAATAATTTGAAGGATGAAAGTGAAATGTCTGTAAGAGGAGAGAGAGGAGAGGAAGCGCTGCAAAAATAGAGGTAGAGCTGGAGATAGCATTGTGGAAGCATGGCATTGTAGAAGGGTAGTAAATCTCAACATAAACTAAATATTCACCTTATGAGGGTAGTGTGAAGAATCTGGTCTGTGTAACATATTCTTACTCAGATTTCTCATTCTCAGAAGAATGAGGAGCACACTTTCCTGTGCTGTTGTTGCCCATGAAAAATGTTTACTGTCTGGTTGAATCACACTTTTCCTAGACAAGTAAGGAGAGTTCTTCTCTTATAATAGTACAAACCCACATAGTACACAACTGATTATTTGAGGTAGCTTTTCAGTTAAAAGAACTTGAATTCCGTTTCAGCTGTACATGCTCTGAGAGGCAAATGACATCCCACTCCCTAAATATCTAGTGTTATGAACTTTCTGCACTATATCATCTGGTATGCTGATGTAGTCTTTTAATAGCCCATTTGTAAGTTTGATTGCACTTTGAGTACCCTAGCTTAAGATTTGTACGAGCCAGATGCACTCATCAGTGCTCAGCAGCCTTCTTAATTCGGTAACACTTAGTTCTGGTAAGTTCATAAGTCTTAACTGGCTATATAAGGATTCATGGAGCTTTCACCTATAGGCTTTGGATGAATGGCTTCTGTGTGTATGTTGTTTTCAGAGGTCCAGTATGATATGATATAATTACACTCAGAAATAAAATTAATGTAGTTTTGTAGATAATGTTTCTTAATTTTATTTCTCCATTGCTTTTGAACTAGGCAACCTGGATATCTGGGCTATTACTGTGGAGGAGAGAGCTAAACATGATCAACAGTTCCATAGTCTGAAACCAACATCTGGATTTATCACTGGTAATGAAATAGTTTTAACTTTTAATTTCATTTAATTACATCTTAACTAACGAGCCTAAATATGTACCGAGTTGCCTGGGAGACATTTGGGCATACGAATTTAAAAGATTGAGCAGATATTACTCATTTTATATTCCATTTTTCATATGCGTTACCACATCAAACCATCTTTTCTGATATTTTCTGATATTTTTCTGATATTTAGCAGCTGTACAACTGGTTTATGCCACTTTATTTTTCTGTAAGTAGCATTAAAATAACTGTGGCTCTATAAAGCAGTTCTACTGTGTAGAGCCAGCTGATACTTACAAACTGTAGAGTTAGAATTCAGGGCGTGGGATTACCCTGATGCCTGATAATGCCAGCTGATACTTACAAACTGTAGAGTTAGAATTCAGGGCATGGAATTACCCTGATGCCTGATAATATTTACAGTGCTTTTAATGTGCTCAGTAAATTAACTCACTGTACTGAGTCTGGCTGAGATGGAGTTAACTTTCTTCATAGCAGCCTGTATGGTGCTGTGTTTTGGATTTGTGGCTGAAGCACTGTTAATAACACATTGAGGTTTTGGCTATGGCTGAACAGCGTTTGCAAAGCCTCTCTCCCATGCCACCATGTGCAGCAAAAACTGAGTGGGGGGGCTGTTGTCTTCCAGCGTAGCCATTGCTCAGAGACTGAGCTTGAGGGCAGTGGTGAGTGATTACCTTTGCATCATCTGTGGTTTTTTTCCCCCCTACTCTTTCACTCATTAAACCAACTTTATCATGACCAACATGTTTTCTGATTTTTCTCACTTTTTGTCTCCCTATTCTCTTCCCCATCTTGCTGGGGAGAGGGAGTTGAGTGAGAGGTTGGGTACTTAGTTTCTGCCTGGGATCAAGCCACCATGCTAACATACTAACAGATTAAGAAGTCTGTTTAAATAAAAATGTATTAATTTAACTGAAATCTGTTTCAAAAACTGATTGTTTAAAGTAGTAAAATCAGTGTGACAGATACGGTACAAAATACTGCTGCTTTTTATTGACCTCCTTTGATATTTAGTGCTGTTTCTAGTCTGTTTACAACTTTCCTTTATAGGCCACAACATTTCCAAGTGCCTAATCCTTTTGTAATTGTTTTGCTATCCTTACTTTTAATTGATAGTTGGAAAATGACTTTGAAATATACCATTGCTTTCTTTAATTGTGGCTTATCAGGTTCATATCAGGGTAAAGACCACTTTATTTAGTTTGTGCTAGCTGACTGGCATGGTACTTCCAAAAAATCTAAGATAGAGTTTACATTGATATATACTTCCTCTAGAAGAAAAAATTTTAATGTTCTCACAAGGCATATGATTCCTGCAAAGAGAGTCATTAATACAGATTAGGGAGTCAACCATGAGTTTCCCATTGCCCTAAATGTTTATGCCCGGTTGACTTCATGTGATGCTGACTGTTGCAGACTTAAACAGTATGTGCTTGTTGGAAATATCTGGTAGGTTTACAAGTGACAAAGTAAGGTTAAATCTCATACTCTGTTATGTATGTGTAGCATTAAGTATTTATGGTTTTACTGTTGGTTCTGTTTTAGATATTTTTGACTCATGATTTCCTCTTTCCTCTTACAGGTATTTTTAGCATTTTCTGAAATGATGTCCTATTTATTTTATAGGTGATCAAGCTAGAAACTTTTTTTTTCAATCTGGGTTACCTCAACCGGTTTTAGCACAGATATGGTGAGTATATGGGAGGGGAAGGGAGAATTGCAGTTACGACACAGAGTGAAGTTTACTGGTACAGACTTGGACAGTAACTGTATTTCACATTCTGGGGTTTAAAATCACTTATTTAGTTCAGTGTGCTTTCCAAAAGTCTACAAGGCAAATATGGTTTATAGTATGTTATAGCTGAGATTTTAAGTTACTAGTTTAGTTTTTGGAAGTAGCCATCCTTCTACAAATGGCATTTTTGAAGTTGGCAATTTCAGCCCTCATTTCAAATTAATAAATGCTTTCAACTTTATTAAAACTGTACTAATACAATCACTAAGCACAGTAATTAGTATTAAAAATTTTCTAATGGGAGAACCTATGCAAGACTTGCAAAATTTCTTACAAAAATGAAGACTGGCATAGACTATTTCCATTGTAGTTGGAGATACAGCTTGAAATTTTTGCTATTACTTGGTGAGTTTAGACAGATCTCCATTGCTGTATATTACACATCACAAACATTGCTACAATCTGCTAGTTTCTTCATGCAGGATTGCAATTGTTTCTGATCCAAATTATATGACCTTGCCAGACTTGGACATGCTAACCTGCATAGATTATTCATAATTTACATTAATTCTATTACTACTAACATTGTTTTTTCGGTGCTAGACAGAGTGAAAGAATATTGGTTTTCATTCTATATTGGAAAAAGCAGCAGAGGGATGGATAACTTCTGAAAAATATGTTAACTTTTCCTCTGTTGTTAACTGTTTGAAAGAGAGAGTAGTTTATTGCAGTGATAAAAATTTTTTGTTGTGGTAAAGACTTCTAAAGGCAGAATCTTGCTCTGACTGGAGAAAGAAGAGAGTTATTGCAAGAAAAACAATTGCTTTGGAAATATGCATGCCTAAAAGAGGGGCTGGATTTACATGGCTTTTAAATAAATAGCTTATTTTCTTTTCAAATTATCTTCATCTTACAAATATCAAATCTGGTCTGGTTATCGTATTTGTTGAAGACTCAGTGAAAGTTTAAATGTCCCTTTGGAACTTCTCTTGTCTCTTAATTAAACAAAGAAAGTTTTGTCTTAAACAAGACATCCTTTCTCCAAAAATGTTCCGTAGGCATTAGCTTTAAATAGGTGTTAACAAAACTAAACAGTTGTAAATAGTCTGACTAAAAAATCTCTTCCTCTCTGAATTACTCAGTTTTTCAGCCTTGTGAGAGGGGGAGAATCATTCCACCAGTTGTGTAGTTGTCATAGAGACAAGACCCGAACTTGCACATTTTTTTAAATAAAGCTGAACTAAAACTTATCCATGCTGCCTTTATAAATCATAAAAAACCATGTAGACATCCCTTTCTCACTGCCTGTCTTCTTTTTTGATCATCTCTGAATTAAGAGAAGTAAATATTTAAGTAAAAATCTAGATCACTTTGTATATATTTCCAGTTGGAATTAGAATAACCAAGTAGAAAAATGGTTGCATAGTGGTAGTAAGACCCCTTAATAAGGGAAAAGAAAAAAAGAAGGGGGGGGGAAGAAAGCAAAACCCCCTTCTTTTCCCGTGACTCCAACAATTTAACTCTTTTGATCTTTCAGTGAATGTTTATTTGTAACCTACCACAGATTACTGCTGTCCCACAGAAACAATAGAAGTTAGACTGTTTAGTGGCAAGAAGTCCTTTGCAGCCTCCAAAGGACGTCACAATATACTCAAGACTGCATTGAAAAATGCGAATCATTGTTTGTCTTAGCTCCCAGGGGTAAGATCTCAAAGTGGCATACTTGCTTTGTGGATTAATAGCAATATTCTAATGTTGTATATCTACATCTCTCTTAACATTGGTACAGATCTGTGACTACTAAAATAGAGGGGGCGGTTCTGGAGTAATAAGCCCAGAATCTCTCTGAGACATACGAGCTGCATAAAACTTCTTTTCTATCAGTATTCTTTACTTCCTGAATAGATGGAAATTTTTTTTTTTTAGGTAGCATTTGATTATTAGAGGGAGAGAAGGGGAGGTACAACAGTTTTTAAGGAAGGAAAGTTGTTATTCTGAGTTAGAGCAACTTGTAAAACTCTTCAAATTAATTTTCTGATCATAGAAATATGGTAGTATATATATGTTGTGTTTTGGAAGTGTTTTCCTATTCTTAATGAGTCTACTTATTCTGAATACAGTTGTTCATATTAATCTGTCTGCAAAATATGAGCCTAGCATTTGTTTCATAAAGGATTACCTACAGCTGTATGTAGTCAAGCTTATGCTAACACCAAGTTTCATCTGTTTTGTTGGTTATGGAAGTTCTTGTATAGAAAAACACAACTGGGAAAGGAGCTGCAGGGGTGATTGGCCTAATAAGCGATTGGCCATACTGCTTTCAGAGCTCTCTGCAGAAAAAGCAAGCCCCGTCTCTACGAGTTTCCAAACATACTATCTCATGAGTGAGAGAATTTTGTTTGCAATAAGTGAGCAGTATAAGGATTTTCGCTGTCTTGTATTTTAATTTTAATTAAAATTGAATTGCCATTTTTGTATCATGAAAAAATATTTTTCACTAGAACGTCAGGAAATGCTAGCTAGCTAGCTGAATTACCAGTTAAATGTCTTCTGCCTCAGGAGCTGCTTTGAGAATATTCTGCAGTTCGTGTAATTGTTTTCTAAGATGAGACTCTAAGGAGTATGTCTTATTTTAATTTCTGCTATTAATCAAAGCTTCCCCAGAATTCACGTTCCTTAAAAATAGTAGCGCCATGGTTTTTAGCATTGAGAATTCCTGTGTCCCTTCTACTCATCATTCATTTAAGAAAAAAGAAGTCTCTGGGACCTCAGTGGAGCAAATTTGTGGAATTATTATGGTCTGTCATGACAACTTCTTTACTGTTTTACCCTTTACAAGCTTTGGAGTCTGCCAAGCTGGTAATCTATTAAGAAGCCTCTAAGTAGTCTTTGAATTGAGACTGCAGTTGCTTGGAAGATAACTGTTTTTAAGTAGGCAATAATCTAGCTTTCTTCTAAAGCCCTCATGAATGGTGGCCTCAAAAAGCATCTTCTGTGTAGCCTGTCTCTCTGGAATTAAATGAGAACTAAAAAATCAATGCCATCTGTTTTTCATGCATTTAGAGTTATTTATTTTTTCAGAACAAACTAAATCCATTGGTAGACTTTCCTATTCCTGACATATGCTTCCCTTACAACCTTCTTAAATTTGCGTCCAAGTGTGGGAGTGAAAGATTACGGGTGACAATTCTGAGAGTTGTAACTATTACTATACACACATTAAGTGACTGATGCTAAAGACCTAATTTCTGCCATTATGGCTGAGGTTTATAATGCAGTATGGGATTGTATAATCTAATATGGGAATGTAAAGCTAAATAAATCCAGATTTTTGAACTGCAAGGAGGTTTCCTTGTTTTAACACTGTGCTATTTTCATGGAGATAGGTGTTTTGTAGGCTAATCATAAGCATATTGGATGGAAAAAACTGTGCATGCTCAGTTTCTGCGCCTCATAAATGCAGAAATAATCAAGTTGTCTTTGCATTCTGCAGAAAAGAGGAGAGAAAGGAGGAGGAAAAGTTCTGTAGGGTCAGAATTTTGTCAGCACCTGAGACCTAGCATTGTGATGAAGCCCACTGCATTCTCTCCCTGTTATAAACACAGGCCTGTTCTATAAAAGATAATAAATATTTGGTCAATGTTTAATCCATTTACCACTCTGCACTGGTTCCGGCCAGGCCTTAAATTAAACAAATTTAAGGACACTACATTCTTCCAAATGTCATTAGAAGCAGAACAGTGAAATTAGGCAGTGTTTACAGTCAGCCACTCACTGCATTTAAGGTGATGTTTATTCAAAAGTTGCGCTGTAGTCTAGCAGCATGACACTAGGTTTAGTAATTAGAAATGGAAATTTGTCCTATTTTTGCACTGAAGATTTTGTCAGACAAAAGCTGATTATTGTTAGCATGCTGTAAAAACATATATGGATTCTGTAGTGTGTACATAATTTTTCTCACTGAAATTTGTGCTGTTAATTTAAATAACAAAGCCATTGATGTAGAGTAAATGAGTTGAACAGAAGGTCAGACGTTGAATTAAAAGGTACTGATGATTATGTGAATAAGAGTTCAATTAAAGCAATATGACTGGTGCACATCAAAGTTTATTACTGGGCAACTAATATTTTCTCACGCAGAATGCAAAGACTTGCTGTGTTCTAGCAGTGCACTCTGTAAGTAGTGCCTGGAGAATGAAGGTCACGTACAGTGTGATACTTTTACTGCATTTTCATGGCTATGCATATGACAGGTTGAGGGACTCTGCCTGTGCTTTCGTAATGGAAAGGCTTACATTTTATAAATCAAAGTATTTGCAGGTGTAGAAGCCACTTAAGTTGAACAAATAAGACTATTGCAAATATGATTAGTGTAACTACTTTGCTTAAACGCAAAGATGTAAAGAACATTGTGACTATTTATTTGAGTTGTTGGTGCCAGCTGGTCACTATGGAGCTGACTGACTTCTCTGTATGTTGGGGAAGGAGTCATCTTTGGGAGTACTACTGACTGCTTGGACTGCAGTCAAAAATCTGCTAGAATAGGTTTATCCAGATCAATTTTTCTAGCTTTGTTCCTATGCACATCCTCAGCTTGCTAGCTGTATAAGCCTGGTTTTTACTGCCTGTTTCTACTGTGCATCTGACAGAAGAATGGCTAAGCAAGTGTTGAACTAAACTTTCATTAAAAACCCCACACATTTTCCCTCTTGAATATTTTTGAATTTTCTTTAGTTTCCTTCAAAGAGGTGTGGTGTCTGTCTTCAATTAAATGAAGCTAATTATCTGCTCCTGGATTCCATTGTTCTTAATACTCTGTAATTTTCTAATGAGGCTTTCTTACCCTCAGTATTCATTCACTGTATGTTGGTTTACTTTCTAGTGCAAAACCCATGCAAGGGAGCACTTCAGAAAATACATTTAGCCATTATGTTTCTGACATTCTAACACTCAAAATACCTTTTGCCTCTTGAATGTTTTGGGTTTGTAAGACTTGCAGGACGTATTTTTCCCAAGTAAGACTTTTTGAAATCTAACATCACTGTTCATAGATGGTGACTAATGGACATTATATGAACTGTTTTGGTTGTAAAAAGTAAAAGGTGTATCAAGAAGAAAATGAAAATGTACTGAGTAATACTGTTCCTTGTAAGCCTGAGTGATGATTTTGGGCAGCAAAAATTCTACAGCATGTTGTGGGACATGTCAATGCTATTGTTGAAAAATAGAGAGAGTGGATATTCTTAATTGTCATAATTAAACTATAAATTCCTTCAAAATGGATTTGGGCTTTTTACAGGAATTTTAAGTTGATATAAATATTTCTGATACAGAGAAATTTTGAGAGAGATGCAAACGTCTTTCTGAGGTTTATACCCATTTCATTGTATAGGAGGAAAAGCACTACATACTGCATACATGCAGTCTGTTCGCAGGTTTGCATATAGTGGCTTGTGGCATGTACATCCTGCTAGACAGAAAGATATGATGGAAGCTAATAAACTCTTAGTATTTTTATGTCAAGAGAAAGCCATTGCGTTTCAGAATAAACAGAACATGGATAACCTCAGTAACAAAATGCGAGAAGCCTACTTTGTGTTTTTAACTGTTTTCTAGAATTAACTATACTTCTCATTTTGAAATACACATTTTTCATTAACAGCTATTGCAGTCTATCCTTGCTGTTGCTTAACACTTACAGGAGAGAGGCTCCTCTGCCTTCGGTAGGGTTCCTTCACTCACCTCTGCAAGTTGCTTGAAGATAAAAACATTACAATTTCCACTTCAACTTAGCCTGCTAATACATCAGGAGGTACCAGTGTGTTGCTTGCTCTTCATGGAAGAGTGATCAGAAGCTGAGACTCTATAGAGCAGTGGGGTTCTGCAAGGAAGAGGAGATACCCATTCCAAATTGGTACTTCTCTTGGTCTAGGTTCGCCATGCTGGCCTTTCCTCTTCCTTCTGCTGGTTGGACTACCGTATATCAAGTCAGACTGCTACAGCAGGATCTTTTTAACTGATTATTTGTCAAGTGAACCACATTCTAAGCGATTATGATTGAAACTTGAATCCAAATCATGTTATGCTATGTGGGTCCCAGAATCAGTTTTGACTAAATTTAGGCTTCTAAAGACTTGCTGGTAGTGGGCTTAGTGGAAGGTTTAAAGTTACTGAAGAGCAGGCAGATTTTATGTGTAAATTAAACTTCCCTGTGATACGAAGCCTCAGGAAACAACACCTAGAAGTTCTAACAGCTAAAACTTGTTCTTCAATGAAATATATGTAGTAATTCAACATCTTTCAGGGAGTGGTGCAATGCATACTTTTCTTTGTAACTGTAAGCCTCAGAGCCTACAGTTTCCTCACGAGACTTTCTCTTTCTTCTTTAAATACGGCTGCCAGATTTTCAGCAGTATTATTTAGCCTTGTGACATCAAAATTGATGGATTAAGACAGATACACTGCTGAAAATGCTGCCTTATAAGTATTGGAAAGGGTTGGAGTGTCTCCATTTTTTGGGAAATGCTACTGGTGATCTAAACGAGGGGAAACTCTTAAGATGTATGATTGACCTGTGGCAACCCCTGCCAGGATCTGCCTCTTTGCTGAGCTTTCCTATGTTTTTTTTTTGGTTGGGGTGGGAGGGTTTTAATTTTGTGAATGCTTTGCTACTGCATTTACTTGGCTGTCTACTTATTTAAGTATCAATTATAAATAACTGTTGATCTATTGCAGTACTTTTTGATAACTTTTCACATACTTGCACGAAAGCTTTCCTTGACAGGGATTTGATCAGAAATAAAGCTCTAGTTTAACTAGACTGCCTGGGTCCTTTACATTGTCATGTCTGTGACATGTAAATGTACACATGAACTTGAAAATATCTATTATTCCAATACTGCAATGTGTACTTAATTCTTCAAATGAATGCAAAGAAATAAGCGTAATGTTTAAAACTAAGTTTACAACTGATTACATTATTAATATGCATTTACTCTGTTTTTTGGTTTGCAATTGCAGGAACTAACATTCTTCTTCCTGCTTCTCTCCCCCCAACCTCCCAACCCTATTCCCTGCTGAGCATGGTTTTCTTAACCATCAAATGAAGAAACAAAAAGAAGACTGTTTAAGTCAGACTACTTTGAATGAAGTCTATTCAAGGTCTAGGCTCAATGTTTTATCTTGAGTACTATTGTTTAACTGAAAACACATTTGTACACTTGCAGATGTAATGGTGTTTAGTACAGAGTATAGATTTAAAGAACATTTTATTTTAAAAGTAGCTAAACTACAGATTTGCAGACTAAGTAATTTGATTCCCTGTGGTGCTGTTTGTAGTACCATGTAGTTTCACTTGTGTGATTTTGCAAAGTTCTTGTAGAACTATGTTAATCCTTCTTCTCTAGATGCTTCACTGTAATTCCTTTAAGAGTTGAAAAGTGACTTTAAAAATATTTATTAATCGCTCCAAGAAAGAAATCAGGAAGCTCTCGTTTTAAACAGTGTCTTGTTTCATGACCATTTTTAGCCTGGCATAATTATTTTGACTGGAAATTAATTAGTCTTGAATATACATGCCTGTGTGTGCATGCTCCTAGGTCAGCTCCTGAAGTTCATAATTTAAGAATCTAACTGTGAAAATCGTGTATTTTGTAGGGCTCTAGCTGACATGAACAATGATGGGAGGATGGATCAATTGGAGTTTTCAATAGCTATGAAACTTATCAAATTAAAACTACAAGGTTATCAACTCCCATCTGCACTGCCTCCTGTCATGAAGCAGCCACCTATTGCTCTGCCTAGTGCACCAGGATTTGGTAAGCTCTTTGTTTTCTTCCTTGTTAGCTTGTATTATAGTAACCTGAGTTGAATTTGATTGTTTTGCAGTTTCTGAAATAAACTTTTAGGAAAAAATACTTCTAAAAGTATGTGGACTCAAAACCAAATGCTTCCACATGCGTGTACATGCTCCAAAAAACTCTCAGTGAGCTCTTAGTACCCAACCATATTGAATAACATAAGTTGAGGTCGTGTTTGCCTCAGGTCTTACACTGCTCCCCGTATGGTCCATGCAAAAGTGTTTGTGGAGAAAAAAGATGGATGAGGTAGCAGGGCTAGTGCATTCCAAAGTGATGGAGTTTTTATTTAAACTACTATTATTTATCTCTAGTTTTCATTAAGGTATCTCCAGCTTTGGCAAGATTAGCTGTGTTTTTCTTAACTTTTTACAAATCATGCTAGTAATGCACGCCTCTGCTTTTACTTTCTGAACAGTGCTGCACTGGTATTAGCTAGAACAGCTGCTGATTCAGTTCTTGTGGTTAGTACTGTCAAGGTCACCATCATTTCAAGGAAAAGAGTAGGGAAAATGGGATAGTGAGAGGAAAATAACAAAATGAAGCTGAACCTCATCTTTGACACCTTGATCTTCTGCTGTAATCTGTAGTGAGAGGTTCTTTACCTTTCTGTTTTAGTCATTGCTGTGACTCAAGTTGATTGGTGCCTGAGAATCACTGCTGTCCTTAAGAAAAGGGAATAGTTCATTTGATGAACTGCGTGCAACCGTGTTGTTTGATCAGTTTTTACTTCCGCAAGTTTTACAAACAGTTTTATTTTTGACTGTAAGAAATCAGTGAAATCAAACAGAACAAATACTGGTTTAAGTGAGAAAAGGCATAATAAAGTCAAACCCCCAAGAAAACCAGCAAAATCTGTGATTTTCTTTTTTCTTGTTCAGTGTAGACTTGATCTCAGCTGTTTGCACACAGCCTCATTCTTCCCATTGGCATGACTGGACCTCCTTAACCTTTCTGTTATCCGTGCAACTGTGCTTACACCTAAAATACCTCATTACTGTGCTTTACCCTGTTAGCTTTGCACTGTTTCATCTTGACAATAGGCTGCAACCAGTTATCCTGAAGCTTGTTCTTTTCAGCCCTGGCTAAATGTCAGCTTTGGGTTCATTTCTCACTGGAAGTTGACAGTGCTGCTCTTCATTTAGTTCAGGCCAAACAATTCTTTTCTTCAGCAAATGCTAATAGACTTTTTTGGTCAGTGTTGCATCCAGTGTGATCTTATATGCATACATTAGAAAGTGGTATGTTGTTCCCTCTGCATTGTTTTATGTTCCCCTGCCATGCTAATGGTGCAGCGGACTGTAAGAGTTCTTTCAAGGGGTGTGTGGAAGTTTCCATTTCAATTTGCTCTTTAATTCTGCATTTACTGCTGGGTTGCAGGCTGCAGTTAAATTGTTATATCATATTAGTCTCTAAATTAGAAAAAAATTTCTCCTTTTCTTGCCCATAGGTATTGGGGGCATTGCCAGCATGCCATCTCTTACAACTGTTGCCCCAGTGCCAATGGCATCTATTCCAGTAGTAGGAATGTCTCCACCATTAGTATCTTCTGTTCCTGCAGCAGCAGTACCTCCCATGGCTAATGGAGCTCCTGCTGTTATACAGCCTCTGCCTGCTTTTGCTCATCCTGGTATGCTACGTACTGAGACTCTGTTTACTGTCTTGCTATTAACAAACTATTTTGCCATTTTCTTTGGGTCCAGAGAACAGTAGACATAGAATTAGCCATTCTAACTTACTTTAAAGAATTACTTCGGGTAGGGACTGTACTTTAGTTTAGCCAAATGTAATTGGTAAGCAAACTTGTATACAAGTTAAAAGAAGAAACATGGACATACCATACTGTAACAGTCAGTCATGTTGAGCAAAATATTAACCCTATTATAACAGCAGTGTGATAAATCCAGCTTGCCAATGAACTGTTGCCTAGAAATTGGTCCTCTTCTATCTATTTATAACTACTGAAGTGCTGATATTTGTTGGGATTACTTTAAAATACTGGAATACATATGATTTTTAACATTAATCACAATATCATTTGATATCAACAGTGTTTGCATAAAACTGCAAAAGTAAAAAGACATGAGAAGTGCCTGTGTGTTTTAACCTATTTTGTTAGACACTGTTAATGTATCTTAATATTTTGAAAAGGAATACCATCAGAAGAACCATGATGCTTGTATTTGGTGTTAGGAACTAAATGAATGTCATTGAAATTCTACCGTTTAAAATGCTAATGCTAATAAATTTGTGTATTGTCTTATTTACAGCCACATTGCCAAAGAGTTCTTCCTTTAGTAGATCTGGTCCAGGATCGCAGCTAAACGCAAAACTGCAAAAGGCACAATCATTTGATGTGGCTAGGTAAGTTGGTATGGAATGAGTGTATGTGGGTATCTGGTTCTCCAGAGTTAGAAAAACTACTTCTCTTTCACAAAGTTGTTTTCTGAAATAATATTTACTTCCTGCTG